CCCCGCCCCCCAGCTCCTGCCTCTCCTCTCAGAACTCCCATGTGCGAGTCTGGACACATTCGCACTCTGCCCTGCACCTACGGCCACCCTGTGGCGGCCTCCACGCCTTGTCCCCGTCAATCAGTTGTAAACTCCTCAGGACGGGGACTTTTCCTTGGCTTCTTATCCATCACCCCTCAACCCACCAGTGTCCAGGAGGTGCCACATACAGGAGGAGCATAATCAATGCACGGTCGTCTTCGATTGGCTGACTGCTCCAGCTGTTGGCAACCCATGCCCACCCTGATCCCTGGGCCCAGGCCCGCAGCCCCTCCATATCCCTGGAGAACACACAGGTCCCTCATCCCCGTCACCTTCTCGCCCATGAGCCCAGTGGGCCCAGGGTCTCCAGTGGGTCCAGTGCGACCCTTCGGCCCCTCAGGACCATCCTCTCCTCTGGAACCAGGGACTCCGACCTCGCCCTGAGTGAGAGGGTTGAAGAGGTGAGTGTCAGGGTCTGGGGTGGGGCTAGGCCCCAGGGGAGAGGCAGGCCCCAGTGAGGCTGTGAGGGTTGGCGGGGGTCCCAGACACTATTGCATGACAGGGGGCCACAGGTCAGGGAGACTGTTGTGATTGGAGGGGCACAGGCTGTGGGGCTGTTAACCTGCTGGGATCAGGCCTAAAGGGTGCAGAGCACTGGAGACAGGACTCCGGGGTATCAAAGGAATCGGCTGGGGGCTCCAGAGTGAAGGATCATTAGGACGCAGACTTGGGGAGCAGTGTGGGGGCTTCTACTCACCCTGTCACCTTTCACACCCATGTCACCTTTGAACCCAGGAAAGCCATCGTCGCCCTAAAAAAATTGGGAGAGGACACCCCAGATGGTAGAGGGTCAGGAGGTTAAAATGGAGGGTTCTGGAGAACACAAGTGGAAGGGTGGGTGTCAGGAGCTGGGGGGCAGCAGGGGCAGCAGGAGGGGAGGGAGTGGGGAAGAGGTGACTGAGAGGCTGGTGGAGGCAGAATGGGGTGTTGGGAAGTCGGGGCACATTGCTCACCTTTTCACCCTTATGACCCTTCAGACCGCGAATTCCGTCCACACCCTGGAGTCAGGCAGGGCAGAGACAGAGGTCAGGGCGGGGTTTGGGTTGGAAGGACCGAGCTCCCGAGACCCCGACTGGTTCCGAAAACAGCCCTTTATCTCCCGGCCTGGGGGTCTTTACCTTGACACCTCGGGGTCCGGGGTACCCGAGAGGGCCCTGAGGTCCAGATGGACCCTGGAAGAAAGAGAGGTATCTGTAAAGGGGTCAGGGGTGTCGTCGCGGTGGCCTCGGGGCTTGGGAAATGGGAAGTGGCCTCGAAGAAAACAGCCAGAGCCTCGTTAATGACGGACAAGGACATCCCAAGGACTTCGCAGGCCAGGGTCTGGGGGAAGCCCTTCGGAAGCTGAGAGGAGGCGTGGAGACCTCACCTGGTTTCCTTTGGTGCCTGGGGGACCTTCCTTCCCGGGGTGACCCTGGGGGGAGGGAAGAAGAATGTGACCACTGGCCCCTGTCACCCTCCTGCACCCCTCTCCACACTTCACCCCAAACTCCCCTGTGACCTGATGAAGCCACTGACCACGGGCAGGTGCCACCGGTGACCTCCCAGTGCAAGGGACACACGGACGGAGAGTCACTGAGGGCCCTTGGAGGCCACCAGGTGGGGTGGAAGGTCAAGGGGTATTTGGAAGAAGAAGTGGGTCCACTCACCGGGAGTCCGTCTGAGCCAGGCATGCCGGGGAGCCCTGGTTTCCCCAGAGGACCCTGCAGGAAGGCGAGGGGGTTCAGGATCACCAAAGGGGTCAGGTCTAAACACGGCCAAGTCCCAGCC